TAATTATGCGTTCAACTTCTTGCGCACTGCTTGCATTAGCCTCCATTAGCAGCAAAGAATCATCTGCAAAGAGAAGGTGACTTACACTAGGAGCTCTTCTGCATATTTTGATTCCTCTAATTGACCCTCTCATTTCAGCATTATGCATCATGGCAGAGAACCCTTCTGCGCAAATTAGAAATAAGTATGGGAAAAGTGGGTCACCCTGTCGAAGCCCTCTTTGAGGTGTGATTATTTCCGTAACAGCCCCATTCACTTTGATTCGGTATTTGACCGTGGAGATGCACTTCATTATCAAGTTGATCCACCCTCCGTCAAAACCCAGTCTATGCATCATCTCCTTTAAAAAGGGCCACTCGACGCGATCATATGCCTTGCTCATGTCTAGTTTTATTGCTGCATAACCCACCGAGCCCTTTCTTTTCCTCTGCAAGAAATGTGTTAGCTCATATGCCAGTAGTGAATTGTCAGATATAAGGCGCCCAGGCACGAAGGCGCTCTGGTTAGGGGAGATAATGTTGGGGAGAATTACTTTAAGCCTATTTGTAATTACCTTTGAGACCAGCTTGTATACCACATTACATAGGCTTATTGGTATGAGATCATTAATCTTCATTGGATTGTTGTTCTTCGGGATTAAAACAATGAATGTGTCATTCCAACCCTCTGGCATGTCTCCCCCTCTTAGAATATGAAGTGCTTCCTTGACCACCTGTTCTCCAACAGTTTGCCAAAACTTTTTGAAAAAAAATAGCAGGCATTTCGTCGGGACCCGGCGCCTTAAGATCGCCGATGCAATTTAGTGCTGTTTTAACCTCTTCTTCCGTGTACTCAGCACACAGCCCATTGTTCATTTGCTCTGTCACCTTTACATCTACAGCCTGCATAATTTCCTCAATGTTTCTCCATATAATCTTGGAGGAAAAGATGTTAGAAAAATAGTTTGTAACATGTTCCTTGAGTGAGTCTTCCCCTTCAGCCCAACTCCCATCATTCCTCAGTAATTTTTGGATGGTGTTTCTCCTTTTCCTTTCCGAGGCAAAAGCATGGAAGAAAGACGTATTTCTATCCCCGTCTTGTAGCCATTTGACATGGGCACGTTGTCTCCCATGAGTGTCCTGTTGGTATTCAAGGTGATCCAATTTCTCTCTAAGGAAGTGCTCTCTTGAAACTTGGTCTTGATTAATATCCCCTCTTCTTACCTCCTCCAACTCTTTCTTTAGATCTTTTATTCTTTTTTGAAGATCTCCCAACACATTGGCGTCCCAGTTTTTCAAGTCCCCTGCAACCATGCTCAGCATACCTTGAATAGTAGTCTCCCCTCTCCGCTTTGCTTTAGCCCAGGCATTGTTTACAATGGCCTCACAATCTTCCTCCTGTAGCCATCTTGCCTCAAATCTGAAGTTGTGTGCCCTTCTTCTGAATTTTTGTGCCCCAACAACTCCTTTTATATGGATAGTCACTGGCCTGTGATCTAAATGACGTGGGTCGCCGTTCACCACTTTACAGTGTGGGAACCTTGCACACCAGCTTCTCGAGCCAACCGCTCTATCTAACCTTTCCTTGATGTACCGGCTAGCATCCAGCTATGGTTGCGCCACGTGTACTTATCCCCTATAAACCCAAATCCTTAAGACCACAATCAACAAGAGCCAATCTGAATCCCTCCATTTGACTTTGAGCTCTAGCTGGTCCTCCTTTTTTCTTGTGATTAAACAATATTTCATTAAAGTCGCCTGCACATAACCATGGAAGATTCAGCTGTTGCTTAAGTATGCGCATGAGCCTCCAAGTTATTTCCCTTCTATCACTAGATGGTTCCCCATAAATGCCTGTGAAACGCCATTTGAAACCATCCTTTTCTATTACTTCCGCATCAATATGATATCTTGAGTAGTTATGCAACTCCATCCTTATCTCTTTCTTCCAAAACAGAGCCAGTCCTCCACTTTTTCCTTCACAAGCTCTTACCACCATATTGCTCATTCCTAACATCCACTTGAATTTCTCCATTCTCCTTCCATCCATCTTTGTTTCTGACAAGAATAGGATGTCGGGGTCCTCCCGCTTCTGAAGATCCAGAAGCCCGCGAACTGCCGGGCCATTCCCCAATCCCCGGCAGTTCCAAGCTACTATTTTCATTTTGATTCCCCAGGTCGTCCCTGCAGCCCAGCGTTTCCTGCATTCAATCGTGTGTTTCCTTCCTTTTCCCCTTGCACAACAACCTCACCATCACCTCCAAGTCTACCTCCATCATATCTGCATTTCTCTTCTTTAGTACAGTTTCAGGGGACTGATTTTGTTGTTGCTTCTCCTTATTTCTTTCACGCCGCTTAAAAGTGCCAAGCTTCAGACTTGTACCTGACCTGATTTCCTTAATTCTTTCCTTATTATGTTCATCTTCTCTCCTTTGACCTCTCTCCTTTTCTCCTTGGGTAATCTTCGTTGAAATTGTGCTAACTTTTGGCATTTCCTTTTCATGTATCCCCACACCAGGGTCCACAGGGTGTACAGTCTGTTTACATGGGCTAGGCTCCAAATTTTTATCCATAGTCTTCTCTGACTGCTTGTTTTCTTCGAACACCAACTCCCTGCCTTTCACAGCTACATGTGTATCATCTTGAGTTTTCTTTAGGGGCCTGGTGACTTCTTTCTCTTCTCCTCTTATTCCCAATTTGTCTTCATTCATACCCGCTTCTGGCAGGCTCTTTCTCCATGATGGACGATCACTACCTTGTTTACTGCCCTTACTACCTGCACTGTATGTGTTCCAGAAGTCCCCCCAATCGCTTGAGCTTTTCAGGCGAGATATGTCTTGCTATTGTATAGAAGTATATCTATACCCCTATATAGTGCACGAATAAGTTTGAAAGATGGTCATTGGATGAAGCCAATCCGACGATGCAGAGATGACAAATCAGATTTTGTCACATGTACAGTCTAGAAAACTCTATGATTGAACTTAAGCATAATGCACAAATCTCAAAACACAAGCACTTCTCCTTTGTTCTAGAATCTTTCGTATTATAATTGCCCAATTTGTTTTCTAGATGAATCGTCATTATTTGTTCTTACTTTATGCTTTACAACGCACAATTTCATGAATCTTAAAATAGACAAGTTTTTTTACAAAACTAATTGATTTTGAATAAGATGAACTATAGGAATTAAATGAACATCTACATCATGCATATATGACTCAAAACTTACATGCTATAATGTGGTATTTGTTTATAATTTAATTGCCAAATCTCATGTGTGCAACGCGGCGTGTACCTTAGTAGTTGTAGTAGGGATATTGTATACAGGGATAGGACAAACTAAAACTCAGCATGTGAGAGGCTCCTGCGAGCTACAGTCGCCTTCACGTACGCATCATTTTTTTCCTCCGTGACGCTGCCTTACTATATTCGGGGCACATGGCTAGTGCGTGACTCTGGTCAGTACGATCCAAACCAGTTCCGGTTATAAATGATGCCCACTACTCGACGTGAGGAAGACACAAGCCCACCACCATTGCACTCGAAAGCTTCAGCTCAAGCTCAAGCTCCACATCAACAATGGCGAGCAGCAGCTCAATGCTGGCCGTCCTAGCCACCCTGGCCCTGCTGCTCTCCCCAGCCGCCTCAGCCCTGTCGTCCACGCTGTCCCCGGACTTCCACGCGGAGACGTGCCCGCAGCTGGACGGCATCGTGCGCGCGGCGGTGCAGGCCGCCCTCACGAGCGAAATCGCCATCGCCGCTGGCCTCGTCCGCATCTACTTCCACGACTGCTTCCCGCAGGGCTGCGACGCCTCCATCCTCCTCAACTCCACCTCCGCCCGCGAGACGGCGCTGGGCCCCAACCTCAGCATCCAGCCGCGCGCCATGCAGCTCGTCGAGTCCATCCGCTCCACGGCGCACGCCGCCTGCGGGCCCGTTGTCTCCTGCGCCGACATCACCCTGCTCGCCACCCGCGCCGCCATCGTCGCCTCCGGCGGGCCCACCTTCCCCGTGCCCCTCGGCAACCTCGACAGCCTCGCCCCGGCGTCACAGGACAAGGTGTTCGACCTCCCGTCGCCGGCCACCGCCAGCGTCGCCGCTCTGGTGCAGTCCTTCGGCACCAGGGGACTCGGCGACGTGGCCGACCTCGTGGCGCTCTCGGGCGCGCACACCATTGGTCGGTCGCAGTGTGGGTCCTTCTCCGACCGGTCTCAGCGCGCCGACGACACCTTCTCGAGGAAGCTCGCCGCCAACTGCAGCAAGAACCCGGACCGTCTGCAGAACCTGGACGTGATCACCCCGGACCTGTTCGACAACGGGTACTACAAGGCGCTGGGGTTCAACCAGGGCGTGTTCACCTCCGACATGGCGCTGGTCAAGAACAAGACCACCGCGCCCATCGTGAAGCAGTTCGCCGCGAGCAAGGACGCCTTCTTCGCGCAGTTCGCCAAGTCGATGACCAAGCTCGCCAGCGTGCCCAAGCCGGCGGGCAACGTCGGGGAGATCCGCCGCTTCAGCTGCCTGAGGACCAACGCCCAGAGCGTCGTCCTCATCGACACCGCCGTCGACGCTGTCGATGAGGAGGAGGGCTTCGCTGCTTCCGCATGATCGATCGTTCCTGCAGCCGACAGGCATGCAGTACCCCGCAAACCGCGCGTGACGTTAGCGTGTAGCGCACTGCTGTACTACTAGTGTGTTGTTCGTCTGTGGGTTTGAGGGTTTGTGTTGACTGTTTTTTGTTGCGTTGGAGTAGTAATAATAAGACGACGCATGCGGCGGACTCATGCATGTCATCGAGAAATGTTTCTAGATTCTCATGCCGGTCTCACTGTTGAAATCTAGTACTCCCTCCGTCCCATAACATAAGAGCGTTGCGTTTTTTAAAATGTCAAAAACGTTTTTATATTATGAAACGGAGGGAGTAGCTCTTTATTTTATACGTATATTTCATATAGTAGTATGTATTTTCATGTGTTCATCGATGCAGGAGTGATGAGAGCAGCACGTACGGCCAGTACCGAGCTGCTCCTCGCTATTTTGTTTTTTAATTTAGCTGCAAGTCAGTCAACTGACTTTCGTTTTTGGGTTGGTCGATTTTGAGTGAAGGAAGAAGAAGGCAAGGAAGGAGAAGGAATGGCTTCCCCGGAGAGAAGGAAGGGGCTCGCCGTCATCACCCCATTGTCTATCTTAGGAATCAAGGTGTGGCGGTGATGAATGGCGGTGCTGGGGGTGGCGGTGCGGCTTCACCGGATAAAAAAAAGTGGATGCAGGCGGGGCTAGAGGATGGCCGGGGGCGGCGGCATGCACGGTGGTGGGGAGAGGTTGTAGGGAGGGCGGAGCGGCGAGGCTGGTGCGGGAGCGCCGGCGGCCTGGCCAGTGGCAGCAGGGCGGCAGGGGAAGAAGATCTGTTTTCAAGAAAAAACGGTTCGAGGTAGAAGAGATAATCTGGTGCGTTCGTTTTTTATCTAACGCTTCATGTTGATTTGACTGACCCCAAATGAAATTTGGGTCGACTGCCCTGTAGCCATTCCCTTAGTTTTTTGGTGTGCAGTAGCCGAGATCGAGCAATCTTGAGTTTATATCACGCACTCATGTATCTGACTCGTGATATTTAAACGGAAATCAATCAATGTGCAGAAGAAGATGTCCGATCACGGGGCGTGTGAACAACTTGGCGGAATCGAGGAAAATGTCCGATCGCTGTCATGCGCCCCCTGTTTTCCTCTCGTTCTATTCTTTACACAGGTATTTTTTCCAAATAAAAGGAAGGAAAAAAACAGAGCCTTTGAACATCCAAAGATGCACTGAGCACAAGGTCTTGTCTGCCTGCCGCTGCATTTGCATCAATCAAGCACATGAAGTTTTTTTTTTTTGGAAAACACTTGAGCACGTCAAGTTGTGGAGGTGCATGGTAAGCAAAACCGCAACACCGTCCCAGGAGCTGCCCCACGAAGCGAGCATATGCATCCTTTTTTTTTAAACAAGGCAAAAGACTTGCCATTTTCATTGATAAAGAAGAGAGTTTAAGATAAGGATCTCAGTAAAGGGCAAATAAAAGTTCATCACTCTTGCGCCATTACAACACCCAAGTTTTTTGCTCCCGCCATCACCCATAATCAAACTTCCTCCTTAATGTTGCGCACTCGCATCCTGGTGGGGGTCGCCAAGTTGCGAAAGACTCTCGTCTTGCGCTCCTTTCAAAGTTCCCAAAAGACGAGCATCAAAAGGGAGGTCATCGCAGACCACGAAGGGGCCCTTGATTGGACGATCCAAATCCACCAATCGTTAACTAAAGTAGCTGAGCTCCACTCCATAGGGTTGACCTCCTGAAGCCCCAACCACTGAACAATGTCGCACCACACCCTTACTGAAAAATGACAGTGGCAAAGAAGATGTGTGAAAGAGTCCCCGGTTTTCTTACAGAGTAGGCAAAGACGGCAATTTGGCCAACCAGGGCACGCAAGTCTATTAGCAGTCCAAACTTGATCTTGCATCATAAGCCAGGCGAATAATTTGCATTGAATGATCCATCTCGCCCGTGTGACTCTATTTAAGCTCAGTAGCGTGGACCAGACCAATGCATGTGCGCTGGCTCAGCTTAGGCTGGTCACAATGGGCAAGAACATAGTCTAGTAGCTTACACACTTTCCTAGACTATGTTACTACCTCCACAGTGGGTAGGAACATCTATGTAGTGTCATGCAACAATGTATTTATTAGGTTATAGACTCATTGTTTCTTGGAGTGTGTGATGTTCCGGTAACTTAGCTAGTTACCACAAGCACCTCTCTCTTCATTAAATATATGACACATAAGCAAAGTTATATTGGAGTGTGTGATGTTACTCCTAAGTTCCTCCCCATTGTGACCAGCCTTAAACAGAGTGCATGGTTAGCCGCCGGTGCATTGGTGCACGTACCCCCTACAAAACCAATACATGTACATGGTTCTTTTCTTTGTTAGAAAAAGGATACATGTACATCACCATGACTTTTGTGCAAGTGCCCTGAACCCTACTACGACTAGGAGTAGTCGCTGTACCGTACACTCTAAATTTTAGTAGTACTAGTAGCATCATCACCATGCATGTTACTCCATTTTATAAAATGTTTGTTTGCCAAAGCTGGTCCTCGACGAGAAAAGAAACAAATGCTGTTCTTGACAAGTCCAACAAGAACATCTTTGATGCATAGGGAGTGCCACGTACTACCAAATACATCGTCGAGGGCATCGATGGTGGCCACCGCGCATGCCTGCATCTGCATGGGACCAAACATCTCACTCAATTTTTACGGCAACTTGCACCAACTTTGCGGATCGTCATGGTACATACAAGTACAATATTACTCCAGTACTGTCACTTTCGGTGATCGAGTCAAGTGGTGCCCTACCATATCGTTCATGATGAACCCACCACCTTTAATTTTCCACTTTAGCTACTTGTAGGCTGCTTGAATTTTGAATTTGGGCCAGTCGATTTTCAGGCCGTTGATTTTCACTCTGAGACTCGTACTGCATTTTTTTCCGGCATGTGATATTTGTTGTATGGGCTTATTTTTGACTGACCCCATATTTCGGTCATTCGATTTGCTACTAGGCTGAAACCCAGTCTTTGTCTCTTCCTTTATTTATTTTCTGTTTTTTTCTATTTTTATGTGTTTTTGCTTTTGCCTTTTGTTTTTCTTTGTTAGTTGGTTTTTATTTTCCTTTTATGGGTATTTTAGGGATGTTGGATGAGTGTAAATGTATTCACATAAATTCTATGCAATATCTGCGAAAATTATACTATTATAATGTTTGTAGATTCTCATGCCGGCCGGTCTCATGGATGTCATCGAGAAATGTTTGTAGATTCTCATGCCGGCCGGTCTCACTTTTGAAATCTAGTTCATCGGTGCAGGAGCGATGAGATCAGCACGTACGGCCAGTACGGGGCTGTTGCTCGCTGTTTTATTTTTTTGGTGTGCAGTAACCGATCGAGCACTCGTGTACTCAAAATATTTTGATCTATTCATCAACAGTTAAGGCAGGAAAAAAACAATAGAAGTAAAAATTACCACCAAATCTATAGACCACCTAACGACGACTACGATCACTAGAGCGAGTCGAAGGCGCACCACCGTCATCGCCCCTCCATTATTGGAGCCGGACAAACCTTGTTATAGTAGACAATAGGAAAGTCGTCGTGCTAAGGCCCAAAAAAACCAGCATGCCAGAACAACAGCGTCACCGATGAAGAGAAGAATAGATCGAAAGAGTTTAACTTGAAGACACAAGAACACATAGGAACAGAGACCGGATCCAAGTGGATGCACCAAAGACAAACACCGACCGAATCCCATGAGATCCGTTGGAGAAAAATCTCCACTCGCCCTCTAAAGATGCTAGACGCACCACCGGAACGGGTCTAGGCGGGGAAAATCTTATTCCAGTTTCAAGAAGCCGCCTCCGTTTCATCTTTTTGAACAGAATACAAACCCTAGACGAAGACGGAGATCCGCTGTGTGGGTTCCTGATCGCCCTCGCGCGAGCGTACCAGGCGGAGGACATGATAGAGATCATGTTAACGGATATGCACTCATGTACCTGACAATATGATTTTAATAATATGAGTCGTATGCATCGTTCTGATGCAAAAGCTGGGGTAAACCCCTTTTCGAAAAAAAATCTACCTGACAATAACTCTCGTGATATATAAACGGAAATCAATCAAGGTGCAGAAGAAGATGTACTGTACCTGACTCCCCGTGCATGCGCGATCATGGGGCTGTGCTTTGAGCTTGGAAACAACTTGGCGGAATCGAGGAAAATGTCCGATCGCTGTCATGCGCCCCCTGTTTTTCTCTCGTTCTAATCTTACACAGGTATTTTTTCCAAATAAAAGGAAGGAAAAAAACAGAGCCTTTGAACATTCAAAGATGCACTGAGCACAAGGTCTCGTCTGCCTGGCGCTGCATTTGCATCAATCAATCACAAAAGCACACCAAGTTTTTTTTTTCTTTTTTTTTGGAGAACACTTGAGCACATCAAGTTGTGGAGGTGCATGGGAAGCAAAACCGCAACACCGTCCCAGCTGCCACAGGAAGCGATCATATGCATTCTCATCATCACAGTGAATGATCCAGCACGCCCGCGCGACTCTACTTAAGCTCAGTAGCGTGGACCAGACCCAGCCTACCTTACCTTAAACAGAGTGCACGGTTAGCCGCCGGTACACTAGTGCACGTACCCCTTACAAAACCAATACTACATGTACATGGTTTTTCTTTTGTTTGTTTGAAAACAAGGATACATGTACATCGACATGACTTTTGTGCAAGTGCCACGACTAGGAGTAATCACTGTACTGTACACTCTAAATTTTAGTGGTAGTACTACGTACCTAGCATCATCACCATGCATGTTACTCCATTTTATAATATGTTTGTTTGCCAAAGCTGGTCCTCGACGAGAAAAGAAGCAAAGGCTGTTCTTGACAAGTCCAACAGGAATATCTTTGATCTTCACCCCACCGAAGAGCTGTTGATGCATAGGGAATGCCACGTACCACTAAACAGATCATCGAGGGCATCGATCATGGCCACCACCCGGATGCCTGCATCCGCATGGGACCAAACATCTCCCTCCGTTTTTCCGGCAACTTGCAACAACTTTGCGGATCGTCATGGTACATACAAGTACAATATTACTCCAGTAGTGTCACTTTTGGCGCTCGAGTCAAGTGGCTGCCTCGCGTCCTACCATGTCATATTGTCATTCATGATCGACCCATGACCTTTAATTTTTTCCACTTTAGCTACTTGTAAGTTGTCTGAATTTAGATTTTTTGCTCTGACATTTGTATGCATTTTTTTAAAACAAACTCCGAAGCTTTATTGCACCGTCTCAATGTTTACAGGGACAAAATCAAGTTCATTGGACTGACCTAACCAAACATGATCACCAATCCCTAAGGATAAAGTGTGCTTCGAGAGTTTGCGAGCCTCGAAGATCGAGCTTCTAAATTCATCACAATTATTACATATGTCCAAAGCAGACTTGTGCTGCATTTATTTTTCTGGCATGTGATGTTTGTTGTGCTGGGCTTATTTTTGACTGACCCCATATTTCAGTCGGTCGATTTGCTACTGGGTTGAAGCCCTTTAACTGTACGATCCAGCCCTCATCTCTCCCTTTGTTTATTTTTCTATTTTTTTTCTTTCTCTATGTGTTTGGTTTTTATTTTTCTTTTATGGGTATTTTCGAGATGTTGGATGAGTGTAATGTATTCACATAAATACTATGCAATACTGTGAAACTTATACTATTATATGATTATTCCTTGCATTATAGCATACTACAAAAAGTGTAATTTTAGAGCCAAGTTGTGTGCAAGTTTCACGAAACTTTTTTCGTCATCTTTCTTCTTAAAATGCTAATACTTTTGCTATTGATTCATTGTTTTTATTCTAAACTATCTTGTTGTTTTTTATTTCTTTTGTTGGGCGTCTGTCTCCGTCGTGGTAAGTGACCGAAGGTACACTCACTGCAGGAGATGCTCCTCCTTGTCGGGCACTGACATCACGTAGCGGCGGCGGGCGGACTGCGCAGCCACGTCGGACGCGCCCCCGGCGGAACAGGCACTAGAACACACCGCTGCCCGCGCGGAGCCCGATGTGGAGGAGGCCATCGGGCCGGCAACACCGATTGAGCTGCCCTCACAGATCCGCGTGCGGGGCTGGAAGGACCGGCACCGACGTCGACGCTGTGGCGATGGGCGACAGGCAACATTGCACTTGAACTGAAGCTGTTGCCCACATCAACCCACGAGCGCTCCAGTGCGATATGGAGCGCCATCTCGTCCTCGTCTCTGAAGCTGCCGTCAGAGTGGCTGCCAATGCTGGACATGGTCGCCGACGCTTGGGGTTTGACGGATTGGACAAGAGAAGGGAGCGGAGTGAAATGAGCCTAGTGTTTGCTCCGGAGAGGGATTTTGTGGGCTCGGGGTGAGCCAGAGGTGGGCCAGGCAGACGCACCCGGGCCGCGTCATATCCGTCCTAGATTTGGGCTGAATATGAGGGGTGCCGGTCAAGTCGGGCTTCGAGAGTGGTTTGGGGCGTCTGGTTTGCGGCTCATCAGCAAACAGATGTTTTGCGCGGGTGTTTGAGACGGATTTGAGAGATACGGCCGTAGATGCTCTTAGACAAGAACAAATGGTGTAACATGCATCGCTCAAATTTGTTCGTGAGTAACAACTTGACACGGAATTCGCAAAAAAAAAACAACTTGACACGAAGGTGCATGCATATCAGCATATGTATGCGTCGAGATCCTTGATATTATTCTGCTGTCGCCCAGCAGCTACGGAACCTAGTTATTACAGGTACTGTAGGCTGGGTCCTCTGCCCTCCCATGGACCCATCACCCTAGAAAAAGGACAAATATATCCATATCTAGCCTCCTGTTGTTGACAAGTCCAACGAAAACATCTTTGATCTCCATTCCATGCACCACAGCACACGATCGAGCTGATGATCCAGCCATCCAGGCAAGAGCTGGGCTGCAGATCAGTCCTCCTTACACGTGCCACCCACATAGTACTGATTTATCGATTATCCAGGACATAGATCGTGGTCGTGGGCATGAATGGCCACGACGCGCACGGTGGTTATGCGGCAAATTTGACAATTTTAATCTGTGAATGAAATCATTTCATAAAATGAACTGTCTTTAAATTTTTTCACTCAAATGATCTTTTTAAGTGGCGTCCGACACGAAGGCGTCACACTACACTGTGTAGCGCCTGACTGATAGACGTTGCACATCTAACCAGCGTCGCACCCGTATTATTCAAAAAAATTATAGTGCAACCACTAGTGCAACGCCTAAAAGCTAGGCGCTATACTGTATAGTGTGGCGCCTAGCTCTTAGACTCTGCACATTGACTTAGTAATTTTTATGCAGTCCGGGGTGCGACGCTGGTCAGGTGTGTAACGCCGGTCAGTTAGATGTTGCACGATATACTGTGACGCCTTAGTTTCGGGCGCCATTCAAAAAGTCAGTTCATTTTATGAAATGATTTCATCTATGGGTCAAAATTGTCAAATTTGTTATGCATGCATGCATCTTCCCCGGTTTCCGCCAACTTGCATCGTACTTTGCGGGTCTAGCTACGTTGGAGTTGGACCAGTACTAGCATCACTTTCAGCGATCGAGTCTGATACCCTGATCAAGTGGCTGCCTCACGCACCTATCTATCAATCTCTGTCACGATCGACCCACCACCTTTGTTTTTCTTGTGTTTACCCTCACACACACGTACTAGTACCATTATCGCTATCAATACGTACATAGGTATCCAGATTAGTTGACGAAACAGATCGGGGTTCCAAAGTCTCCAAGCACGCAAGAGGATCCTTTGGTGCCCAAGAAGCAGAAAACACGTATGACATAGTTCATCAAGATGAGATGCAACGACGATCGAAACCTCTGTCTCTTTATTGCTACACACACCAACACTGCTGCACGCAAGAAAACGAAGCATGCCGAGAACTCAAACACGATTGGCTACGGCCTACGGCCATGCCGTGCATGCACGCTAACACAACGCACTGGTAGCTAGCCTGCCTGCCGACGACCATCTTACTCACGGTAGTACTTGACCGAACCATCAGATCAAGCGGAGGCGGAGAAGCCCTCCTCCTCCTCCTCACCGGCGGCGTCGACGGCAGCGTCGGCACGCTGGGCGTTGCTCCTGAAGCAGCTGAAGCGCCGGATCTCGCCGACGTTGCCGGCCGGCTTGGGCACCCTGGCGAGCTTCTCCATGGACCTGGCGAACTGCCCGAAGAAGGCGTCCTTGCTCTCGGCGAACCGCTTCACGATGGCCGCCGTCGTCTTGTTCTTGACCAGCGCCATGTCGGAGGTGAACACGCCCTGGTTGAACCCCAACGCCTTGTAGTACGCGTTGTCGAACAGGTCCGGGGTGATCACGTCCAGGTTCTGCAGCCGCTCCGGGTGCTTGCTGCAGTTGGCGGCCAGCTTGCGCGAGAAGGTATCGTCGGCGCGCTGCGACCGGTCTTCGAAGCTGCCGCACTGCGACCGCCCGATGGTGTGCGCGCCGGAGAGCGCCACGAGGTCGGCGACGTCGCCGAGGCCCCTGGTGGCGAAGGACTCCACTAGCGTCGCCACGCTGGCCGTTTTGGGCGCCGGGAGGTCGAACACCTTCTCCTGTGCCGCAGGGGCGAGGCTGTCGAGGTTCCCCTGCGGCACGTTGAACCAGGGCCCGCCGGAGATGACGATGATGTCGCGGGTGGCGAGCAGGGTGATGTCGGCGCAGGAGACGACGGGCCCGCAGACGGCGTGCGCCCGGGCGCGGATGGACTCGATGAGCTGCATGGCGCGCGGCTGGATGGTGAGGTTGGGGCCCAGCGCCGTCTCGCGGGCGGCGGTGTTGTTGAGGAGGATGGAGGCGTCGCAGCCCTGCGGGAAGCAGTCGTGGAAGTAGAGGCGGAGCAGGCCCGCCGCCACCGCCACCTCCTGCCGCAGCGCCGCCTCGACGGACGACCACACGATGCCGTCCAGCTGCGGGCACGACGCGGCGTGGAAGCCCGGGGAGGCATCGCCGGTGAAGACGGGCAGGGATGTGGCCGGGGAGAGCAGCAGCGCGGCCACGGTGGCCATGGCGGCCAGTACTACCAGTGAGCTGCTCGCCATTTGTGGGGCTGAAGTGAAGCTCGAGCTTGAGTTGAGTGGGCTTGTGGCTTCCTCACGGCAAGCAGTGGGCGTCATTTATAACGGGAAGCAATCAACAAAACCGGGTGAGACGCAGAGCGCAGAAACAGCGGCACCAATCCGGCTTTAGATCACGCACCAACCGCTCCATGGATCCCTTCCAACCATGTGTCTGTCTTGGTGTAATATAGAAATGGAAAGTTTTTCTACAGAGAGCAAAAAAGTGAAGGCGGCTAAGCAGCAGCCTCTGGCTCACATGCACGGCGGCACATGCATGCACGGGCGATCACGTGGCGACCAACTGAGCATTGAATTCTCCTATCCCACTACACGTATATATACTGTTATTTATTGCATCAAATTGGTGTATCCATTAAGCTTGATCAAGTGATTTCATGAAGCTAGTAAACTGAGTGAAAAAGGAAAACATCTCAGTTCCAATGTGGTCAGTACAGAAGCAGAGCACGCCTACTGCTTCAAGGCCTTTGGAAAATTGGCCACATCAAGACATCAAAACCATTAACAGTGCATCTCGCCATCGATCCCTTGTCTTCATCTATTAATTTGGACACGTACATCTTGACGGTTATAACAGGTTAAACAGTACTACCTCCGATCTCAAATATAAATCTTTTTACAGATTTGAAAACACACTACATACGAAGCAGAATAAGTGAATCTATGCTTTAAAATGCGCCTATATACATCCGTATGTAGTTTGTATTGTAATCTATAGAATTATATTTAGAAATGGATGGAGTACAACTAGTGCGTGCATGTGACGGTAAAAAGGGATCGGGTACAACTAGTGCGTGCATGTGAGGTTAAACGAGAAAGGTGCTCCGTCGATCATGACATGTGTATGGGCGTGAGGAAGGAAAGTGACAGTGCAACAATATTGTACTGCTAGCTGGGAAATATTTGGTACCATGCATGCATGCGTTCGCATGGCTGCCCTACACAGCATGCATGAGGCAGCCACGATCCATGTCCTACGTTTAATTTCTTTGACTTGTCAACAAAGAGGCTGATATTTTAATGATGCGAAGATGGCACGTATAAGGAGGAGTCAAGGTGATGGGATGAAAGCGAACCAACCAATGGTTAAGGGTGCGTTTGGGAGCTAAGTATTTTTAAAGTTTCCTAGGAATACTGTGGTTTTTGAAAAAACTTCAGTATTAAATACTTTCAGGTGTTTGGATAAAAAAATACTGCAGCTTAAGAAACCATAGTATCTCTAAAACTGTGGTATTTTTGTGGTATTTGAAAAAGAGGTTGGGACCTCTTTTCAAAAAACTGAGAAATGTTGGCTCATTGGTCTCTCTGAGTCCATCTTCTTATGTCCAATACTTTGTTAGATGATAGATCTATTTGGCCAGAGTACATGTACGGATGACTTAGTCCCTGCTCCTTTTTACCACTGCTTCTTCTAAACGTGCAAGTTGTACCTTCAGTGCCTGTCAGAATGCTTCATTTTTTATGGATCACAAAAGATAATTCAACTATGTATCCTAGCATCCAGTAGAGAACATGCCCAGCATGCATACGGCGGCCGTTAGCACGATTTGACCCGGCCGTGAGTGCAGCTGAATTAGGTTCGGCTTTAGGTATGGTCAAGATCATCCATGCAACGACAGAATAATCGGTCAAAATCAGGGAAACTTAATAAAACTGCCATTTGCTAAACGCCTCCATAGTTTTATCAAAACTTAGAAAAACTATGCTTTTTAGAAATCAAAGTATTTATTGCCCACACATTAAAATACCAAGGTTTTGAAATACTGTGGTTTTGCAAAAGCTGTGTTGCCAAACTAGGCCTAAATGTTTAGTAGTACAGTGGTATTCCAGCTCATCAGGATTTAAATCCTAGACTTGATATTGGTGTTTACATTATTTTATATTTTATGTCAGTCTTTTAACGATGTTCGTTTCGTAGAAGAAAATGTTTCCGGGAGGCACCTGTGGTGCAACCCATCCGCTACAAGATGTTGAAGCGGCAAAAAAAGTATGAGTTGAAGGCGACGAACATGGAAGAGATGAAGGGGTTTAGGGTGCTCGGCTGTGGACGCTCTTACTGCTTCCGTGAGAAAAGTCTTTGGAAACTTTGTCACATCAACATCAGGCCATTGAACGGTGCATCTCCCCATCTAGCCGTTAATTTCGTCGATTAATTAGGGCACGTATGACGTCTTGACAGCGAGGACAGGTCGAGTAGTACTAGTACTGCGTATGTGTGAGGCTAGTCAAGAAACGTGGTGCGTCGATCGTGGCATGGGTATGGACATGAGGCAGCCAAAGTGATGGCAGAGAGTACTCCCTCCGTATCATAGTATAAGATTGTTTTTGACACTCCACTGAGAATAGTATCAAGCAGCTACAATCATACTGTTACGTGCACGTTGCCGGAAATGGCGGGAAATGTTTGGTGCCATGCATGCGCGTGGCTGGTCACGATCCATGCATGCCCTACTTGATCAATTCGTGCGTAGTGTACATGGCACCTGCAAGGAGATGAGATGAAAGATGGTTTGGGGTGGATTTAGAAACCAGACTGTTCAAGTAAGGATGATGCGGCGGTGGCGTTATTTTTGTGGTGGACCTGTGTCCTCGAGTTACACCGTTGCGACGGCGTTTGCTCTAGCGCCGGCGTGGAGCTTTGAAGGTAGTGCTGGAGCGGATGCAGATTGTGGTCTGCATCGATAACATTTGGAAGATGGTGGCAGGCATGTATGGTTTCCTCCTCCAACGTCTTAGTTGAGTGGGGGTGTCATACCTGAAGTTCGATGGCGTGTCCGCGGTGCTGCCCCGGTCTGACTCGTTCAACGGCAATGGCCTCGCCTTTATTGGCCAGCCACCTTGGAGATCCGCAAAGCTACATATCAGCGATGGAGCCGTGTCGAGCTTGGGTGTGGAGGTGACCCGTCATTTTCTCTTTTTGTGGCTGCTATGGTGGTGCCAGAGGCAGGTGACGGGCGTTGGTGTCAAGCTCAGAAGATACTTCAGTCTTGTTTGTAATTTTGCTTCTTGACTGATGTTTTTGTGTGCAAAGGCTAGCGTTTTGCTGTCTTTTTAATTTTATCAGGACGGTATGTACATGGCTCGTACTATGATCTTATGATATCATACTATGATCCTTATGATATAAATGAGACGTATTACCATGAAAAAAAGACGGATCCTTACTACAACAGAGCTGCTGGTCGCCATGGTTTCTTTTGTACGTAGCTTGAGCTGAAGCCAGCTTGAGTTGAGTGGGCTTGTGGCTTCCTCACGTCAAGCAGCGGACGTCATTTATAACGGCCGGGAACCAATCAACAAAACCGGGCGAGACGCAGAGCGTTGAAACAGCGGCACCAACTACTCCATTGATCCCTTCCAACCATGTGTCTTGGTGTAATATAAGTAGAAATGGTAAGGTTTTCTACAGATAGCAAAAGGATGAAGGTGACCAGCAGCAGCCTCTGGTTCACATGCACAGCGGCACAGGCACGTGCGATCACGTGGTGAACTGAGTAAGATAGCCTGTGGAAAGGAAATCATCTGAATTCCCATGTTGCCAGTGCAAAAGCAGAGCACCTACTGACTACTGCTTCCCGGCCGTGAGAAAAATCTTTGGATACTTGGACACATCAATCAAGCCACTAAACAGTGCATCTCGACATCGATCCGTTAATTTCTTCGTTTAACTTGGACACGTAGTACGTCTTGACAGCGATGAGTTATGAAAGGTAGTCAAGAAATGGTAAGGTTATCGCCGATGACATGTTCAAATAGTACTACTACCGCGTATGTCTGAGGCTAGTCAAGAAAGGTAGTGCGTCGATCATGGCATGGGTATGGGCGTGAGGCAGCCAAAGTGACGAGGGACAATATTGTACTCCCTCCCTGAATATAAGTCTTTTTAATAAGGATTTCAATATAGACTACATGTGGAGTAAAAACGACGAAATTTGTACTACGTATGTAGTCCGTATTAAAATCTTTAAACAGAATTATACTCCCTCCGTTCCTAAATATAAGTCTTTGTAGAGATTTCACTATGGGCTACATACGAAACAAAATGAGTGAATCTACACTCTAACATGTATATATATACATCGGTACGTGGTTTATATTTGAATCTCTACAAGAACTTATGTACTCCCTCCGTTTCTTTTTAGTCTGCACATAAGGTTTGGTCAAAGTCAAGCTTTGTAAAATTTGACTAACTTTATATTAAAAAATATCAACATTTACAATATGAAATCAATATTTTCGATTGCAGCATGAAAAGTATTTTCATACTATATAGTTTTCATATTGTAAATGTTCATATTTTTTAATATAAATTTGATCAAACTTTATGTAGTTTGACTTTGACCAAAACTTATACGCGGAGTAGAAAGAAACGGAGGAGTATTTAAGAATGGAGGGAGTGTTTAGGAACGGAGGTAGTAGTATCTACAGTAGCAGCTAGAATCGTACCGCTACGTGCACGTTGCCGGAAATGGCGGGAAATGTTTGGTGCCATGCACGCGCGTACGTGGCTGGTCTGGAAACCGTGCAGCGTGCACGCGGCGTGGCGGCCACGATCCATGCATGTCATGGATGATCAATTCGTGCATAGTGTACGTGGCACCTGCCAGAAGCAGATCAGATGAAAGATGCTTTAATTTCTGCTACAACAAAGGATATGTCAAGAACAGGACAGATACCTAGTATTTCTTTTCCCGGTGATCGGCCCGTCCATGTGAGGGCTACAGCGACGTACCCCGCCCACTGGTTCTGCTAGGCCCCGGGTACTCGAGGCTAGAGCATCTACAACCGCAGACAGCGAATCCGATTTCTCATACGGCCGCGAACGGTGAAACGTTCATGTCTTAATTTTGCTTCTTTGCATCCGAATATTTATACTAGAAACCTTAGATTCATGTAAAAACATGTAAAGAATAAAATTCACGTACTACATGGATCAAATAATCTATACTATTCTAATCCTCGTT